CGCCTGCTCCAATCCCTGCACAAGTAATTCATGTTGTTTGCGCCTTTTCAAGCGTGGTATCGGATCTTCCAAGTGGCTTCCGTCACTGCATCCTTGCAACCCATGACTTGAGGTATTCTGAACAGCCTTGAGTCATCATCAGAACATGTTGTGTCGAATATTCGCGTGTTATTGTGACGCGTAACTCCTTGCAATGCTTAATAAGGACCGAGTAGTGACTTTTGGCTTGAGTTACCTAAAAGCTTTTTTTTTCAGTACCACATATTTCATCTAAATAAAACTGCTTCTGTACATTCCGCTTCGTAGCACACAATGCTGCTCATGTAAATCTGTGTTTACTAGTGGATTAAGATGTATCTGTTCTTGGTGGTCTAACGGCCTTTGGTTATGTGTGTGTGTGTGTGGGGTAAATTTCCTGGATGGCAACTATGCTTTCTTTTTTAGAACCCCTCAATGGTCGCCGGAGGCTTCGGTCTGTCTCCTGCACGCACAGTCGACTCTTCCAATCTCAGTAAGCTCAACTCTGTGAACCCCATGATTCAAGCCAGGTTTTCGGTTCCACACGCCGACTACTTGAGACACTTGGTGTAACTCTGATTTTTTTTTATTGGACGTGCTTTTAAACATGACATTAAGAGACTGACTGAAATGCCTTCATTTGTGCTGCCTCAGCTGGCTCGTTGTTTGCACACATGTAGGTCGGTGTTTTAAGCGTCTTCTGAACTGCAAATTCTGAAATGATTGGAGCTTGAAGTGTGATATCTATCCGTAAAAATCCATCGCATCTGAAGTCCTGGCGTGCCTAAATATATTCGCATTCAGTGCCAATTTGTTTGTGTCTCCGTAGATGAGAAGATTGATTCGCCGTTGACTGGACGTGCCTTAGTTGCCCCTGATGGAGCCTTCGACCCGGTGGCACGAGCAAGCCTGCCCGGAGGCAACGGTGGCTGTGGCCGGGGCTCCAGGCGAGGTTCTGCAATGGGTGGCAGTGGTGGTGGTGGTGGTGGTGGGGGAAAGAGGCGCAACACCACCCCGACACCCGGACCCTACCCCACGATGGGCGGCGGTGGTGGTGGTGGCGGCGGCGGAGAAGTGCACCACTCGCTCGCCCCTCCGCCTTCGGTGGGCACCGACTCGGAGGGCGCCAACTCCCTCGATGGACGCGATGACGAGACACCCGAACAGAAGGCTGAGCGAGAGAAATCGCGAAGACAAGCCAACAACGCTCGAGAACGGTACATTTTTCTGTGGTTTGTTTCGTGTTCCCCTTTTTTGTGTCCTACCATGGTTAGTCATCGCCTCTGTGAGTCGGCCATATAGTGTAGCTACTAATTCCATGTCATGTCGCAATTGAATTTTGAGTCTGAAAAGTTCAAACGTAGTACTTCCAACTGAGAATTATCTGTGAAACTTAGTGTTCGCAATTACAAATTCACGAAATGTCTGTGTATTTGGTGAGTTGCGTGTCCCCGTTTGAAGTCAGTGATTTTGACTGCGAACTTGAGCTAATGTGTTACAAGAAATATCCCTCGATAAATTGTGAAACGTTTCATAGCTGGATTATTCTCCTAGCGACCCTTTTTGAAGGGCCTGTGTGGGTAATTCAACCAATTTTTTGGCTATAGCCTCCGAGTACGTGAGATCAATGATGCTTTCAAGGAGCTTGGCCAAATGATTAACCTCCATACCGGCAACTCGCAGCCGTTGACAAAGCTGATGATTCTTCAGCAGGCCGTCACTGTGATAAGTAGCCTCGAACACGAAGTCAGAGGTAGAAAGAGCTGCGAGGACTCCCTCTAAGATGTGTGCATGTTTTGTGTTTTATGCTTTCCCCCTGGCGTGCGCGCGTGTGACTTGCATGGCTGCATGCTCGTTTGCAGAGTGCGCGTTCGTGACATCAACGACGCATTCAAGGAGCTCGGACGCATGTGCATGATCCACCTGAAGAATGAGCGCCCCCAGACAAAACTCACCATCCTCCAACAAGCCGTCACGCTAATCACCAGTCTTGAACAACAAGTTCGCGGTATGTTTCACGCCTCGTCATTGCTGACGGTTTGTGTCTGTGATTATAGCGATGTTCTAAGGTGTCGCGTAACATGAGGATACTATCATTCAGTAAAACCTAATCTTTCAAATTTGAAAGTGGTATTGTAATGTTTGTGTTTAGGAATCCATTCATGCCCTCAATTGGTGGAACTTGATGTGTTAGACAAACTGATTCAATAGTTTTTGCAGATTGTTAATATCTTGCTGTAGGACCTTTTTTACTTAGGATCTCGGAGCGGGTGCTCTTAAGCCGTGAACTTGAAATTTAATTTGCCGCAATAATCTTATTCGGTCAACTTCCGAGGTCCAAGTGTGGTTTTGTTCCGTCAAGAAAATGGCGGTCGCATCGTCTATCCTGCGCATACCACGTTTCGCGGGCCTTTCTACAAAATCCTTGACTTATGATTAATTTATTCTGTAGAACGAAACCTGAATCCTAAACAAGCCTGTCTTCGTAGACGCGAAGAAGAGAAAAGTGAGGACGCAGCTGGTCTCCATTGTTCTTCCGACTACACCGAGAAGTTACCCCTGGAGTCCCAGACTGGTCAAGTTAGCCTTTCATCCTCTGCACCAGCACCTTATGACCATGGTGAGCTTTCTTGAACGATAGGTTGTTTACTAAATTTTTTCGTGGGACTAGGCATTGTAACTCTTGATTTAGGCATGTATCAACAATCGACTTATCCTCCTAATATGGGCAGCATGGGATATCCGACGTTGTATACAACCTATCCACAACCTCTTAGTCATGATTGGTCCGGCCAACGAACTCCAGGGGACGCGGTGGTCTCGGCATACCGCCAACCCTTTTTGCCTTCAACCAACACCCCTGGTCAGCCGCCATCTAAGCAGGCTCGTCTCTTAAAGCCTGATTTCAGTTTGACTGATTCAGATGATCCGGTAGGAGGTTACTCAGGGGAATCCCAAGGTGATGCTGAGACCGAGTCCCTGTCGAAAAACCCCTCGAGTGATGTATCAGTTTCACCATAATGCCCCACTCACTGACCTCCCCCTTTGTCTCTTTTGTACAAACTCGCCTCTGTCGCATGCCCACCCGGACCAACTCGCCTTCCCGCCGAGCATTTAGTCCTTCATTCCGCAGCGATCTCCCCAACTTTAACCCTGTCTTCCCTATATTTGTAATATGTGAGTATATCTTCGATTCTGCGTGACGTCTAGGCTACTCGTGTCCCGCCCGTCGTTTTTTTTTCGTGTTATGCTGCTAAAACTAATGCAAATATTTATAGGAGAATCTCAGTGCTGTTTCTACGTTGAGTCTTTTTTCCTGTTAAGATGTTATGAGAGAACATCGGAAATAATGTGAGCCTATTGTTTACGGGAAATGTACTTTATAATTTTATGCTTGAGATGATCATAAAAGCTATGCAAGCGCAATTACTTCAAGTAAACGGGAAGTGAAGAATCAGGTCCGTTGGCAACTGGTCCGAACAGTCTGCTAACATAGAGTGAGGAACCGTTGATATTGTCGGCTCTTAGCAGGCGGCTTGGTGTACTTGTAGATCAGCAGCCCAGGCTTGATGGACTAAGCTCGTGCGTTGCCCAAAGTAGAGTGACGAGACGCTATCTACCAATAAGACTGCGCTGGAGACGATGTAGCCAAACGGTTCTCGACTGGGTCGTTGCACGGTCGTGGGCTGTCAATGTCCCGTTTAGACGGCTGTGCAGCCCCAGACTACCGTCTCTATTTTCGACAGGCTGGCTAAGGTACCCGGGGGTGACTTCTTACAAGCGTGAATTAATAAATTATCGCGATAGCCCCCACGTTAGGCTGTTTCGTACATTTCAACTTAAAAGCTAAGTTGGGCTAAGTCATTTACCAGCCGATTAGGTGAAATTAATGGTTCTATTAAGGTCTATGCAGTAGATTGCTTAAGATATTAAAGGCCAGTGTAATTTATTTGATTTTGATCCTCCGTTCGGTGATGAGACTGACAGACAAGAACGCGGATCAATAGAGAGAAATTTTGAATCCATTTTATACTGTGGGGTAGTTTATGAACACTCCATTGACAATCACCATACCACTTCCCATCCACCAAGTTTCCGGTGATGCAGTTCGTCAGGGAATAATGTGGCATTGTTACTCTGCTCTTTCCTTATCATTCGACATCGTTTGTGCTTTACCAAGACGAGCAGGAGCCCCCCCCCACTAACCCACTCCAGTTTGTTGCATGCAGAGGAAAACTTGGAATTGTTTTGGGAGACACTTCAGCTAGTCGCTACCACAGTATTCTTGGGGAGTGAGCTCAGCTGGTGGACTGATTCAGCATTTCAATAAAAGCGGTCCCTAATTTCCGGGATTTGAATGAAGTGGTGGCCAGTGGAAAGAACTTGAACAGTTCTGATTGCCCACCCGGTGTGGCATGTACCTACACCAAAGTGGTAACCGTTGTCAAGCACTAACTTGAGAAGCGCCTCATAACACTAGCGATCCCTGGGTGTCGGGCGCCTTGAAATACTCTGTATTCATCTACGTTTTCGAACCTTATCAATAGGTCAAATAAGGTGGAATGATGGTTTGGTATTCATCATCTAGAATTCGCGGGCTGCAGCTGCCGAAACTTATGCTCTGAAACGATTTAAGCAATTATCCATTTGAAATGGTAATTAGTGAACAGGATAATGTGTTTATTTCTTATCAGATTGGCAGCAAATTATAAATAGTACTTAATGTTTAAGCTCTGTGTAATAAAAGGTTACGTTTTGTACAATAGGGAGTCTACCTTTGAATGACTGCCCAATACCTCCCTGCTTCGTTCTAGCTTGAGCTTTGATTTTGGGCAGTAGCCTGGGTAATTAACGACCAGAAGTACGTCAATGCAGTCGACAAAATGACTGGTTTTCCAGACTCTGCCAGATGCTGCATGGTCTTTTATTGAAGAGTCACTTTTTAACCGTCCGGAGCGCACATGAAGTGACCGGCCTCGTCCCTCCTGCTTGATCCAGTTTGACTCATTCGATCACCGCTGTGTAGGTAAATCGTAACTAGGACATCCTAAGGTAGTGTACGGTAACAATGGCGCTTGACCGATTTTAACTTATCCTAGTATCACCGTCAGTAGTGGGCTAAAATGCACACTGTAAAAACATGACAATTTTCAATATTTTTTGTCTTTTATGAACTATCCACTCTTCTAATGCTTACATATTCCCAAGTATTACGACCTAATAGTAAATTACAGTATAACTTCTTAATTGCCTCTTTTTACCATTAATCTTCTGGCCTTTTGTCCACAACGTCAACATTTGTTTCGAAAAGTGCATCATCTGGTTGCGGAGCTCAAACGTTCAAATAACATACACTTCAACGAGCACGAGGTAGCTACTAGACCAAGGACATGTTAAACCTATTCAGGTTGGGGTGCAATAAACTATTCAAGAGCTCAACGGGAGCACGTTATACCAAGAAGAGTTGAAAGGGTGAGATAAATACCTCTTGCAACAACTTAGTTTCCAAGGCTTAATTGGGAGAATGTGATTGCCATTTGAGGCTCAAATGGTGTTTCTCAAATCTCGAATCATACTCTGGCTTCTGAGCTAGCTTTCAGCCGTCAGCAAATAATAAACTTGTGATTCCTTCTGGTTTATTTTTCTCAATGAATATCAGAACGCATTACATCCTCTGATATTGCTTAACGAGGCTTAGCCTTAAATTTCGCCTGCTAGGGTAAGTAGCTGTTACGCAATATTAACCAAAAAAATTTCAGGTTTGCTGCCTCAAGCCGAATTAGTAGGTATTCATATTCGTCTTATGGTAACTGATGCATGCCAATTTATTTCACTGTTAATCACTGAATTTTCTAATGAAACGGACCTGCATACTAAGACAGGTGATGATATTTGGTTGCTCTTCCAAACAATCATGCAACCTGACACGGGACAACAAGACGGTATCGCAAAGCAACGCAAGAAGCAATACATGAAAGATGCGTACAAACATCCGAGATGACACCCACTCATGTTTCTAACCAGCAGTTTGAGTGATGTGTTTGAATAGGACACAATTCAGTCTTATTCACACATCTTTGGCTATGTCTAAGCTAATCGTGAAGAAAATACTTCCTAAAAGGTGATCGACAAATATAGTGCTTGTAGCGAGAAAAGAACTCAATGTTATTGAAGTCAAGTGGGATTTCACAAACTAGAATAAAAGGTACATCTCTTTTGTGAGGATTTATGCACTCATGCAGTGTTTCATGGACACGATGCGATTTCATATTGGCCATCTGATGCTTAATTTGCAGTCAGTGATAAGCTGACGGAGTTATACGCGGTTTTAAAATGCCTGGAATAGGTTTTAAAGTATAGACAAAATTGCAAAGTAGTGTGGTGAAAGAGGTGCAGGATATAATGAACAGCGTTGCCAGTGTGGTGGACTCGGATGGAAGGCGCCTGATGTGCGGTTCTGGCTTGTGATTGGTCAATGAAATTTGTTCTGTTGTACCAGTCTCCTTTCTATTAGAGCTTTGGTTTTCTACAGTTGCAGCCCAATAGGTATCAATACAAAATCGCTCTTAGACCTATTTAAATGTGCGACAGTATTCGCCATAGAAACTTAGACTATTAACCTTGTTCATCACAAATGTCAGGTAATATTTTCCTCAAGCGCCTTTAGACCAAAATGGAAGCACAAGATATTCACTCAACCTTTTCTTAATTTACGTTCGGAGCTAGAATGTCTTGATGGTCTCAAGCAGTGTCGAAGTTATAAAAAAATTGGAAGTTCACGGGCTACGTTTGCACAAAACGAAAGCTCATTTCATGGCCAGTTATTTGGGGAGAAAGCGGTCAATTTCAAGTTTAAATAGTTCCTTTTCGAGATAAAGAAACAACTTTACTTATTTTAAACACCATTTCTATAAACCTATCAACAAATATATTCGTAGTGATTTTTGTAAATGGGGTAATGAGGCGCAACATGTTTTACTGAACCCGGTGAAATCTACTAAAATGTTTTCGACAAATAATTTCTACTGCACATAGAAATTCATTGGCCATTGTGTAAGAGGGAGAAAAAATCACCTTGTGGCATAAACCAAGGACTTGAAGTATCACATAAATGCTTCGCATTACCCGAGAGGATGGTAAATGTGTCTTGGTCAAGACGTAACAATAGCATTACCCCAATTCAACCGTCGCGTTTCTTTATGTCGTTGGTTGTAGTACCATAAGTTATTCCGTGATGTGAATAAATTATTACCATGTGACGAAACATGGAACTTTCTTTAATTTTGATGCATCACAGTGCGCCCCTGTGATACGTGTCGTGAAGTAAACGTTTTAGTACAAATTAATTCAACCCCCTTACGCTAACACTGATGGTGCTTGAGAAAGCTGAGCGCGATTATACACTAAATTTTTGTATCGCCTTACAAAAATCTTGATTTAATCTGATGTACTTTGATATGTGGATGAATGTCATTACACAAATAGAACTTAACGAAATCCATGGTGCATATCAGTGAACATGCAGTAGAAAGCCAAGCTCGTTTCCTTGTCTCATAGTCTGCGCATTTATCCCGTACTTGCAAGTGTGCTATTTTTGTTATTGAACATTTTTACTTGAAAACACAAAGTGACAA